AGTCATCCTACGCTAAAAGTTGGTTTATTCGTTCAATACTAATTTCTTTTCACAAAGGAAATTTAGCATCACTTTGATCGTTACACAACTTGGGGAATGTTTGCAAGAGGCGAGAGACCGTATTCAGAAAAGGTCAGCACCAAAAATCTTTATGGTAAGGTTTAATTTTTATTTATAAATGGAGATCTTTTAATCAACTGTCAATACTTTTCCTTTTTAGGTATGCATCCATTCTACATGATGCTGGAGACTAATGGGAAAGCCCATGGAGTTTTCATTTTGAATAGTAATGCGCAGGTATGAGTGATTTTGTATTTTCATGCTTAGAAACTGAAACATCTACTATACTTTTTTACAAACAATCTGTTCATAACATTACGAAAAACCATATTTTCCATTTCCAATATGAGGTTTCGTGCGCATAAAAAAGCGAAAAACGTTTCTAGTCATTAGCAGATGATTTGGACGAGTGTTTTATCTTAGCTCAGACTTTCCTCACTTTTCGCAGAAATTCGGATTGAACGTGCTCATCTATGGGCGGAGCTATTTATGTGGGCGCGGTTTTTCTCACTTTCGGTCATCATCTTCATGTTCATATTCTGCTTTCGCACTTGAAGGTCGTTTGGTTGAGACATAACCATGAAAGCGATCTAAATATAACTCCTTGTCCGCAAAAGCTTTGAAAATTTCGTTACTTTTAGGAAATCACCACAGCACCAGGCCCAACCTTGATATACCGTACTATTGGCGGTACTCTGGACATGTACTTTTTCCCAGGTCCTACTCCAGAAGAAGTGACACAACAATACCTAGCACTGATAGGCACCCCAACCTTACCAGCTTACTGGGCCCTTGGCTTCCAGGTAAGGATAATTTCTGCACCGTTTAAGGCAAATCACACCTTTTGAAGATTTCCCGATGGGGCTACAAAAACTTAGCTGAAATGAAGGAGGTAGTGGAAAGGAACATCGCCGCTGGAATCCCTTTGGATACTGTTGTCGGAGATATCGACTACATGGACAGATATAAAGATTTTTCGATAGGGAAGGTCTGCACGATCTCGATTTCAAAGATTTTCTTTTTCTTCCAAATCTCACTAGGATTGGAAAGAATTCCCCGCTTACGTAGACCAACTCCACGATCGAGGAATGCATGTAGTGTTGATATTTGATCCAGCAGTACAAGCTAATTATGCACCTTTTGAAAGGGCAATAGAAGCAGTGAGTATTTTAGTAGTTTCTAAAATTTAGTTTGCTTTCCCAATCCGCATAGCAAATATTCAGAAAGCCAAGTTTGTTGAATGGGAACGATTTGATCAAGTGATGAACTCGACGAATGTAAGAAGATTTAAGATTTGAAAGAAGTTGTTATTAGCATTATTGTCGGTGATTTATTTATCAGAGCCTATATCCATTAGTAAATGGAACGAAAATTATGTTGGGTGTTGTCTGGCCGGATAACCATACTGCTTTCCCAGACTTCCTTGATTCAAGCGGTAACACTGCCAAGTGGTGGATTGCTGAATTGGTCAAATTCAGAGAACAAGTATGTTCCAGCCTGCTTTAAGGTTAAATGAAGGAGATGATACAAATCAAACTAAAAATTGCTCCACAATCTCAAAAAACGACCCATTCACAGTATTCAGATAAGAAAAGTATGCCTCCAATTTTACAATCGTTAAAATCAAGACAGTACCTCCTTTTTTACCATATAATCTGTTTTTCAGAAATGAGTATGTTTT